GGGGTATCTGGCGCACCGAGTGGCCGGTAAACGATGCAAATGACGTGTAAACTGCGCTCCGAGCCCCTGGGACGGGCTCAGGCTGCAGCATTTTTCACATCATCGCTTCTCCTCCGACCCAGTGCGGCCGGAACCAGGACACCACCCGATGCGTCAGCGCTACGGGAGCCATGCCCATCATAGAGCCTCCATCACGGTGCAAAGTACAGACGGTCCGCTTACCTGCGATTGTCAGCCGCTCCACGCTCCGCTCCACCACCGGGCACCGTCAGCTCGGCATCAGAAAACGATCCTCCTCCTCCTCTGTGCTCTGTCTCGTTAATGCGGTGCAGGGCTCTCCTCCGGCTCGCTCCCTCTCTGTTGTGGTCTCCGCACCTCCTCCCTCCTTGTCTGCTAGCGAGCATCCGGGTGTGCAGATGTGTGCACATGGAGCTGATGGGCAGGTGGTGGAGCTGGAGGACAAAGAGGAGAATTCAAAGAGCCAAAGATAAAGAGGTTTGGTTTGTGACAGGGTTCAACAGAAAGAAGCTGTTAACACGTGCACTGCGCTGCTTTATTCCACTTTAACAGACTGTAGTCAAAGAAAACATTTACATTTAGAAGCTTTTACTATCATTACATGCAGATCAGAAAACGTCAGATCAATCCCCGTACAACAGCTCTACAGCAGTGTTGTCATTTTGGCCTTCAAATCAATCTGTTGAGCTTGAAGGAGAGGTCAAAGGTCAAATACAGTAGACCTGTGAGAATCAGCAGCTCTTTAGTGGGCTGTAGCAGATGTGTGATGTGCATCAGCCTGCTCTCTGACTGTGACGCTGGCGTCGACCTTCATCTCCTGTCAGCACGTCAGCAGCTGCTAACACGCCGTGGTTTGTGTTAGCTGGTGACAGCATCCATGACTGACACTGACACTGAGAACAGGTGTGCGTCCATGACAACATTAACATGTAAGCTGGGCATCATTGTTCACATGAGAGCACAAAAGGTTGTAGACCACGAAGCGCCTGCAAGTATTTGTTTTGTTTGTTGTTGTGTGTAAATCCTTGTGTGAGCATTTTGTTCAGTGTCAGAGGAAGTGAGGAGCACTGGACCCTGAGGTGGACACTGATGCTCGCAGCTGCAGGAGCCCATCATCGCAGCATCTTCACGAGTACAGATCCATACAACACGTGATTGTCAGGCAGCTGTTACAACGACACTGGACCAGCTGACCTGTACAGCTGGTCTCCACATGCATTACATCATTTATTTCAGCCTGACACATGACTCAAGGTTCAGCACAAACTCTTTAGGAAGTCTGACGCGTTGTGTTGTATTTGTAGACGCTAAAAAAGGACGTGCATACACAGTTTTATGGGCTCTGCATAGAACTGCAGTGCATTCTGGGTGTTCAAGCAAAACCAAAGCAGGACCGATGCCAACAGCAAGCAAAGAGGAGAATATAGCAGTGAAGTCTGACACAGTGTGAAGCTAACGATGAGGAACGTTCAGAGAATCAGTGATGGGAACATCAGGTGCCTCGATCTACAGGAAACACTGCTCTAGTCGTGAGCCCGTCACCTGCAAACAAGCGCACGGTTATAAACCAGCTCCAGCTCTCATGAAGACGTGGAGCCAGTCAGGCACCACTGGTTCTGTAACACAGAGCATCTCCTCACGCTGGACTCAAAGTCAGCTTCACTTCCTGTGTCCAGTCACAGGACAGTGAAGCTGACACTACAACAATACCAAGACTCTTTTTAGTTTATTTTACACAACATTTCATATTCTGCTGTGATCAGTTTAGTTGTTTATATTTTTACATCCCATTGCACATATTTAATAGTGTTTAACACTGTAATGTAGCAGTTTTGACATTATTACAGCAGTGTTTGTGTTTGCAGACATGCTTCACATTACTGCCACCTGCTGGCTGCAGTCAGCAAAATCCTGCTGCTCACATACAAGGTCTTAAATAATCAGGCCCCATCTTATCTTAATGACCTTGTAGTACCATATCACCCTATTAGAGCACTTCGCTCCCGCTCTGCAGGCCTACTTGTTGTTCCTAGAGTATTTAAAAGTAGAATGGGAGGGAGAGCCTTCAGTTTTCAGGCCCCTCTTCTGTGGAACCAGCTTCCAGTTTGGATTCAGGAGACAGACACTATCTCTACTTTTAAGATTAGGCTTCAAACTTTCCTTTTTGCTAAAGCATATAGTTAGGGCTGGACCAGGTGACCCTGAATCCTCCCTTAGTTATGCTGCAATAGATGTAGGCTGCCGGGGATTCCCATGATGCACTGGGTGTTTCTTCTTCACTCACTATGTATTAACAGACCTCTCTGTATTGAATCATATCTGTTATTAATCTGTCTCTCTTCCACAGCATGTCTTTATCCTGTCTTCCTTCTCTCACTCCAACCAATCACAGCAGATGGCCCCGCCCCTCCCTGAGCCTGGTTCTGCTGGAGGTTTCTTCCTGTTAAAAGGGAGTTTTTCCTTCCCACTGTCGCCAAAGTGCTGCTCATCTTATTGTGGGGTCATTACCTTACAGTATAAGGTGCAGTGAAGTGACTGTGGTGATTTGGTGCTGCATAAATACAAAGCTCACTGCTGCTTTTCAGTCAGATCTGGGGGGCTGCTGGGGGCAGCTTACACAGTGGGGTATGTGTGAGAACCTTCACCCCTGCTGAGCATCCATGCAGGCAGGGGCGGGACTTTGTTTCGATGGGCACACCATGCAGCCAATCACATGCAAAGAGAGACTGGGATCATACCATTATGTGAAAGAAGAAAGGGGGGCAGACGTTCTGAAGACGGCGAGTGTAGTGGTCCACAGAGAGACGGTAAAGTCATTTCCACTGTGGAGGACAAACACTTTCAAACTCGTCCATCACAGCAACACAAACTGCTCCTTTAAAAAGACTCGATGTGCAGCTCAGCATTGACAGTGACAACATGAAGTGTATATAAAGTGTGTTTGGATGCAGAGATGTGTGGATGTGGCACAGACCATGGCTCAGTGTCTGAGTGAGCCTCACAGCTGTTTATGATTCTGAGCCACAAACAAGCTCAAACTTTGAAGCTTCTGTTCTTCACTCTGCACTGCAGACATGTCAGGTTTTTACAACCACAGGTAACAAAAGAAAACAAAAAGCTAATAAAACTGGACAACGAGCCTCACATCAGCTGACAGACCAGGAGAAACCAGTTCGTGACAGCTTGTCCGGCTGGTGGACGGCTCTGCTCCACACTGTGCTGACAGAGCTGAGCAGTACAGCTA